AAAATAAAAAATAAAATGCAACCACAAATTGTACAAAAACATTGTTTTATTTAATGAAAAACTTTACCTCTAAAAAGACAATTCAGTTCAATAACTTTGTAAAGTTAATATTTACGAATGAATTAGTTCAATTCAGCCATAAGGAATTTTATAGCACACAAAAGTTTCATTATTCACTTTGTGTCAGCTTGATGTTGATTTAATAAAATTCAATATCAGTGAAAATGTTGCAAAATTAATACATTATGAAACAAAGTCTTGGCGATAAAGCAGCTCTGGAGAAAACAGTGATATCATAATCCAGCTCAATTCAGTTCCTGTCTTGTCATTATGCAATAGTGTCAGTACAATCCAATCAATATTATTCTTGAATATTCAGTGTCTTTTAATTTAATATAAATGATCTGAAATAACATTAGGAGGAGAGGTGGGGAATATATTTGTAAAGAAAAATAGACACAAATTAGTAGGCCTATACCACAACCAAAGATTACTGTTAAATGTAGGATGTAAAAGTAGGTTATTACACGTTAAAAGCTGAAGTGTGTATCATTGTCAGTATTTGACAAACTAGTTGGCTAAATAAAGTTTAAAACTCTTTAAAAAAATTACTCTTTTAAAAAGTAATTTAATCTTACTTTTAAAGATGAAGTAGAATATCGAAGGATGATGTAGAATCAAAAACCAGACTGGAGCACTTGAATGAGCTGTAAAGCTGCAACAGAACACACACACACACATACACATGGTATCTTAGTATTTTTTCATTTCATATCAATTATCTGAAATAACATTACAAGAGGTGGGGAATATATTTGTAAAGAAAAATAGACACAAATTAGTAGGCCTATACCACAACCAAAGATTACTGTTAAATGTAGGATGTAAAAGTAGGTTTGTAAACATTTAACCTTAAATATTGATATGAATATTTTGACATTGCACATTTAGGATTACACGTTAAAAGCTGAAGTGTGGATCATTGTCAGTATTTGACAAACTAGTTTGCTAAATCAAATTTAAAACTCTATCTTACTTTTAAAGATGAAGTAGAATATCGAAGGATGATGTAGAATCAAAAACCAGACTGGAGCACTTGAATGAGCTGTAAAGCTGCAACAGAACACACACACACACACACAGTAGCTTAGTATTTTTTAATTTCATATAAATTATCTGAAACAACATTACAAGAGGTGAGGAACATATTTGTCAAAATATAAACAAAAATATACTTGAGCTAATATTCCAGAACCAAAATTAAATGAAAAATATAGCATAATATCGCCTGCAGTTATTCCTGAAGAGGGGAGAAAAATTACCTAACGTTACATATATGCTCAGGACTACCGAGTCTCACAAAAAGAAGGAGATCCCGTCTAAATAGGCCTGGGTTTTTGTTAAATGTGAGCCAAAATCATCACAATTAAAAGAACCAAAGACTTAAACTACTTCAGTCGGTGTGCATTGAATTTATTTAATACACGAGTTTCACAATTTGAGTTGAATTACTGAAATAAATGAACTTTTCCATGACATTCTAATTTACTGAGATGCACCTGTATATTCAAATTGATAACAAATTTTAAATTGTAATAGCATTTCACAATATTACCATTTTTAATAAATGATGACAAAATATTTTTAAAAAATCTTACAGCCTTTGAGGGGAACTGGATAGCTGAATTTATACAGCCACAAAACATTACTGTTCGACATGTTGGTTAAAATCATTGCAAAAATGTGAAGGTAATTCTAAGAAAATAGTCTGGAAACACTGTTGTTTTCCACAGTGGACTGTGTGGACCCATCCTGTTCAAGCCATGGCTCCTGTCTCCATGGTCAGTGCCACTGTACCTCAGGCTGGACCGGATCGAACTGTGAGACGCAGGTCTCTATGTGTCCAGAGCACTGCTCTGGCCACGGTACATTCCAGAGTGAGACCAGCTCCTGCATCTGCGACGTCAACTGGACCGGTCCTGACTGCTCTACAGGTACTACTTATTCACTGATTATGTGATGCAGTATATGGCTTGATTTGGCATTGGGAGGCTTATTTGAAAACCCCAAAACTATTTTTCTTTCCAGGTTTAAATTCGATTTTGAAATTTTCAGTGTGGTCTCTGACTTTTGCACCCCACTGTAGGTAAATGAATCATTACAATAGGAAATGGTCTGTGCTTTGACATGCTGCCCATACTGGGTGCTGTTAGGTACACTAATGTTTATGTTTCTAGTTTGATTAGCCTGTTGTGAGTAACCTTTTGATCACGTCAGCATTTCCTGTGGCCATGACGCACATACTGCACGCTAATCTTACAGAAGTAGCTATAACTTACTTTCCCCTTGTGATGCCTGTAAGTAATTGGTGAAAAGAAACAGAAATGTAGCTGTCAGGCTGTTTCTTCAGAGAATGTTGTGGGAATTATGCCATCATAAGTGCCTGTGGTTTTGTAGTAAGGGGATTTTTGAAATGTAAATGTGATAAAAAAAACAATAAATGTGCTGCTGCAGTTATCAAAAAGTGTTATAGTAAAATAGAGATCACCCCAGATTCAATTTTATGTGCTCTGTTACAGTATGAAAGAAAAAAATCACCTGTTCATATGTGAACTAAAGCTAGATTAACACTTAGACTACTGTTCAAATGTTTGGGGATTTTTGAACGTTTTATGCTTACCAAGAGTGCATTTTTTTGATCAAATCAGTAATGATGTGACATATTGTTACAGTTTTATATAGCTGTTTTATTTTAATATATTTTAAAATGTAATTTATTCCTATGACGTCAAAGCTGAATTTTCAGTAGCCATTACTCCTTCAGTATCACATGGTCATTCATAAATCATTCTAATATGCTGATTTGATGCTTAAAAAACATTTTGCATCATTCTTAATATTGAAAATAGTTTTTTTTTTTTGTGGAAACCATGATAATTATTTTCAGGATTCTTAAAAAAAAATGTACTTATTTGAAGTACAAAACTATTTTGACATTATCAATGTCTTTACTGTCATTTTTGACCAATATACAGTAATATGTTGTTGCTGAATAAAAGTATTAATTTATTTCTAAATAAATAAATAAAATAAAAATACTGACCCAAACTGTTGAATGGTAGTGCATATTCCTGTACAAATTGTAGGAATTTTGTAAGGCTTCTATTTAATATCTATTAGCAATTTAATATATTAGCAATGAAATATAACAATAATGCTACAGAAATGTTCTATTTAAACTTTTAGCTTTTACTAAATATAAAATAGTTGCTTAGGATGTAGTAATGCCACTAAGCCATTACTTTCATCTGAGTGTTCGTGAGCTTAACGTCAGGCAACTTCTAGCTGCAGCTCTGGTCATGGGAGCAATGGGCTTGCACGGTTGGGGTTTTGTCTCTTCATTACCTCCACTGTTCCACCTCAGTTAAATAAACCTTAATTAATGGGTGTGTGGCGTGGATCAACCCGCCTCCCGCTGGAACCTGGAAGTGCTAAAAACAGATAAACACCTTGCCGCTAATGAAAAATTGATTACATCGACTGGTGTGGAAAAAGAAGGCTGTTAAAAAAAAAAAAAGATTGAATGAATCAACCAACCCTTCACCTTTTTAGAGCAATTTAATATTCGAGAGAGCCAGCACGACCTAATCAGACCCTCCAAGGTCTTGCGATTGAAGAAAAAACTCTTGAGAGGGACAGCAAAAGTGCTCCCCTGTACAAACATCAGAGACTTTACTTACGTTACACTCAATTTTAGGTTTTATGTGTTATTTATTTGTCAGGTGGACTTTCTTCCCACTCTAAAAGTTGCTTGACAAAGAAATGGCTTAATGGAAGACCAATTCCGCGCTTGCCTGAGAGGTTGCCTTGGGCAGCAGTGGAGAACTTTGAAAAAGTCACCGGTGTAATTTCTTAGCGATGATAAATTGACTCCAGCATGGCATTATAAAATCAAAATTGCCTATGGCGGTGTTATTCGGTGGGGTTTTAGGAGTCGTTGAGGTGATAGTTCTAAGGACATAATGATTAGTTGAAATGAAGGTGGATGGGGCCAAGCCAGGTCTAAGCTGACCACGTTATCTAGCATCAGGCGTGTATAGATGCACAGTGCTGCCTGGTTTCAGCCTTGAATTCTCTTTCAATAACTGGATCTCTAACTCAAGACAGACAATATCTGAATTGAGTTAACATGCATACTAAAAATGTTAACGCATTTGAAATGGAGGTGAAGAAAAACTTGAGATTTCAAGCTATTGCCCGTATTTTACTTCACTTTACTGTATCGACATTAGAACATAATGATTAGTTGAAATGAAGGTGGATGGGGGCAATCTAAGTCTAAGCTTCTTTCATTATCTGTCATCAGACACATTTAGATGGTCCTACACATTGCTGTCTGGTTGCAGCACGTCTAAAAACCGAATCTCAAGCCTGAATATTTTTATATCTGAATCTCTAGCTCAATGCTGACAATGCCTGATTTATATGAATTTATGCAGAAAATACATACGGAAAATTGAAATGCCTTGTGCTGTCTGATGCATACAGATGTAATCTTACGATCTTGTCTTGACCTGTAGGTTGTTTTAATACATGCAGATCGGTGTTGGACTGGAAACAGACATGCAGATGTAATTCTACAATGTGCATATTAATTCATTTAGATTAATAGTTTACAGCCCACTGGGAAATTTTAAGTTGACGGTAAATTGAATGTATAATATAAACTGAGTAATGAAGTTGCTATAACACCATCTATGGACCCAAGTCTTCCTAATTTGAGATGTCTCTCTAGAATAACAGAGTGTGCAATGTTTGCTGACACTTGCAGAATATGGTTATTCCTTATGGAAGTAATTATCTATTAAATATACCCCCAAAAAACTGGCTTTGGCATGCAGCCACATTTTTAAATTCAATAAAAAAACAAAAAAAAACTCCCATGTTGCCTTGAACTTTAACCTTCAAACCAAATCACTTTTTTGAGAGTCTTTTTGGCTACATTTTCTCATAGATGAAATAGAGAGAATTCTATTATATACAATGATGGAATTTATTTTTAAAGGTGATAAATGTTACAGTAAACAGAAACACAACACAGTGTTGTTCTGTAAAAGAGACGTTTGTCCTTGAAAATGTGCACAAGACAGTCTTGTGTGAATGTATTTGTTGATGGATGCTCTGGAGAGCTTCAGAAATGTTAGCAGTCACAGCTTGCAGGATGACAAGTTCAGAGCCATTGTGCATTGGCTTTAGCACAAAACTATCAAAGGATTACTGCCAATTTTGTTCCCCAACATTCAAATACAATCCAGCAGTGAGAATTAGAGTGCCAAAGATGCATTCAGTCATAGCAGTTATAATTCAGCATGGTGCTGTTGTAAAGGAGATGAAATTTCTTATTTGTTTTGCCAAAGCAGATGAGACAACATGTAGATCAGGGGTCTTCAACAGGGGATCCGCAAAAGTACTGCATGGGTCCACAAATTATTGATCTCAAATTAATTTTTGTGGTAAATAAATAAGTGTTAAACAAAAATTAAATATTAAGTTCAATTCAAAACTAAAGCTCAAGTTAAAGGTATAGTTCACCCAGAATATTCTGTCATTACTTACTCACCCTCAAGTTGTTCTAAACCTGTATGAATTTCTTTCATCTGTTAAACATAAAATAATATATTTTGAAGATTTTTGAGAAACAAACAGTTGCCGGTGACCATTGACTTCCATAGTATGGGAAAAATACAATGTCAATGGCTACCAGCAATTGTTGGGTTACCAACGTTCTTCGAAATATATTCTTACATGTTCAACAGAAGAAAGAAACTCATACAGGTTAAGGGTGAGTAAATGATGACAGAATTTCATTTTTGGATGAACTATCCTTTTAAGAAGCGAAAATTCTAATAAATGATTAATTGTCTGTCCCACAGTAAAATTAAAATCTGATGTACAAGTATCTGACACTGCATATCCATAATGGTTATTTTAATAGCATACTTTATTACATTAATGCAAACTATTTGACTATACAAAAATATGCTTAATTTGTATAGTTGTTTTAGAAACTGCATTTTTATGACTTGTATTCTTGCATGCATGTATTTCATGACTCAAACACAATGCTGTTTGTTTCAGAAATGTGTGCAACGGATTGCAGTCCTCACGGAGTGTGTGTTGGAGGTGTGTGTCGGTGTGCGGACGGCTGGTCGGGGGCAGGGTGTGAACAGGAGGAGTGTCAGGCACACTGTGGGGAGCACGGCGTGTGTCGAAAGGGGAAATGTGAGTGTCATCAAGGTTGGACGGGAGAAAACTGCAATATCGGTGAGTTCACCCTGTTGTAAACCTTGTGTTTTGTTATATTAGCTTTAAAAAGTATCCTATTCAGTAGAGATGCATCAATTGACCGGCCAGTGATCAGAATCTGCCGATTTTACTCACGTCTTGCCGATTCCGAGCTGATCCTTTTATTGCCAGCGGCGCCGGCAATGACGTCACAGCCACACACACACTCACAGTTGCATGTAAACATGTCGTTTCGCATGAGAATGATTCTATTTTTAAAGGGGTCATATGATGTTGCTAAAAAGAACATTATGCGTCTCTTGTGCGGATTGTGCTTTCAACATTTTATTATCAAACATGTCCCGCAATTTAGCAACAGTAAAGATGGCATCTTACAACAATCACCGATTGAGCTGATTCTGACGTTAAGTTTGGGTTTTAGGGAAGAACAAATGCGCACCGCTGTGAAGGGAAGGAAGTTGCACAATACGAAACGCAGCTAGTTTTTAATAGCTTTACCTCATGTCTTCTTTTGTATAATCCTTAGAAGCCAAAATTAGACAAATGTTTGAAAAACAGCTGGCGACTCTGGTGAGATAGAATTTGCAAGATAATGTATATATAGCAATAATAAATGTATGTGTGTTTTATTAATTTCTCCAGTACCGATAGCAGAACCATTAACGTCAGTGCTTATCGATACTCTGGTCTTTCATAATTTAGCCCTGGTACCGATTAAATACCGAGTTTCGGTACCCATCCCTAGTGATGCCCTGTCCGGCCGGAGCGACGAGACAGAAACGCTCAATTTCGCTGACGAAAATAGTTCAGATTAAAGCCACAACAGGACTGTTGTGTGTCTCCGAGCAACACACAGTGGTGTTTCTTTACTGAATGAATCCACGTTTTTGAACGAATCGAGTGAGTCATTGATTCAGTGGCCCATTCATAAGGACAGTCACCTCCTTTCTGAATGAATCAGCCGTTTGAATGAATAAATGACTCACTCATTAAAACAGACATTTGCCGCCATCTACTGGTGGTTTAGTCATATTTAAAAGTATCATTGCATTTTTTCAACATTTATTTGTGTTAAAAAAAAAAAGTAAAACATTAATCTTATAAAATTAGTTATGCATTTGAAATTTTCTTTTCTTGAAAGCTTCTGTTTCCTCAACAGTGGTAAGATAGAGTTTGTTAATACTAATTTCATTTGAATGGTAACAACTCTACGGTTTCTTATTATTCTAACTGAATTAATTGAAACAAAGTAAGAATTTGATGTGAAAGATGACCATTTATAATCATAGTGGGAAATGACATCTGTTTTGTTACATACAGCAACTCATTTTAAGTTAACTATTTCTTCCTCTTTCCAGTCACAGAGCACTTTATTTTTAGAGTTGTTTAAGTGAGAGAAAATCTGTAACTTAGTCCAGATTGGGGGAATTGTAATGTTTAATAATTTATTTTATTATGTAAATAATTTTTGCATTGAAATTTGCATAGATTTTTGTTTGTATATGCTGTCAATTATAGTTCTTAGAAATAAAATCAGAAATCGGCAAAAATCGGTATCAGCAAGGTCACACTGCCAAAAAATCGGAAATCGGAATCGGCCAAGAAAATTGCAATCGGTGCATCTCTACTATTCAGTGTTCTCACAGTGAAAACTTGGAAATACCACAAATTGTGTTTTACAGGTCAGTCAAAAGTAATGGAAATTAATCAAATGGAAAATTCCAGGTTTCTATACTGAATATACAGTACCGTTCAAAAATTTGGGGCAAGAAAGATTTTTTTCTTTTTTAAATGAAATTATTTTTATTCAGCAAGGATGCATTAAATCTTTTCATTCAGGATCTATATAAATACATATTATGGTTTCCACAAAAATATTAAGCAGCAATGTTTTCAACATTGATAATGCGTAGTGCTGTCAAACGATTAATCGTGATTAATCACATCCAAAATAAAAGTTTTTGTTTACATAATATACTGTATGCATGTGTGCTGTGCATATTTATAAATAATGATCTTTAAAAAAGCATCATATGACCCCTTTAATACTGCATACTAATATTTATTTAAATTGAATTCCAGGTCATTTTTGGCCTATTTAAAGGGCATTTTCCCCTAACCGTATTAAATGCATGCATCATCTTTCATATCAAATTCTTACATTTTATTAATAATGTCACTTAATATAATAAGACAATATAGGGCTGTTACCAATCAAATGAAGTCAGTATCTACGAAACCGATCTTTCCACTGCAGAATAAACAGAAATGACTGGAGTGGCATTCAGATGCATTTACACAGACGTAAATGTAGCTGAAATGTAGCACGAATGCATTTACACTGCAAAATTATAACAGCATAAATAATGTTGTGAGCTTGCATTTAAAAGAAAATTTTAAATATACAAATATGAAATGTTTGAAAAAATACAAAGATAAGTTACTATTAAAGTAAACCGCCAGTAGGTGCCAGCAAGTGACTGTCTTAATTAATAGTCATTGAAGCATGCCTTCAAACGATTCGTTCAGACGGCTGATTCATTCAAGAATAAAGCAAGTGCCTGTCTTTATGAATGGACCACTGAATCATTGACTCAAATGATTCAAAATTCAAAAACGCGAATCATTCAGTAACAAAACACCGATGTGTGTTGCTCAGAGATGCGCGACTGTTCTGCTGTGATCTTTGTTTGGAACTATTTTCATTAACCAAATCGAGCAAAAAAAGTTCTTCTTGTGTTCATTTGTTTTAATTTCTCCACGAGATTGTTTCACATAGGGACAGGCCGCGTGAGCCTCAACTGGCGCGATCTTATTGTTACTGTTGATATCCATTATCAATTACCGTTTACAGCGAATGTAATAAAATCAGAATCATTCTCGCTGAAATGTCAGTGCTTCCCTAATTAGTTGTTTTAATCAGATTAGTTGTCCAGCCGGGCAAGTAAAATTCTCTTCTTTCACTTTCCCCTTCAAAAAATCCACTTGTCCCAGACAAGCATTAAAGTCGAGCTCTGTTACTGTGTATAAAATTCAACCTGCCAAAGTGGCTAGTAGAAGTGACTGTGTTACCCGCCACAGCTGAAATCCACCCGCATTTGGCGGGTTGGCGGGTGTTAATGTCAAACCCTGATCGCGATTAATCGTTTGACAGCACTAATAACGTGAAATGTTTCTTGATTAGCAAATCAACATATTAGACTGATTTCTGAAGGATCATGCAACACTGAAGACTGAAAATACAGCTTTGAAATCACAGGAATAAATTAAATTTTAAAATAACATCTATTTTTATATATCCATTTTCTATTAATATTCACAAGTACTCACATTACTTTTTTACTGTATTTTTGATCCAATAAATGCAGTCTTGGTGAGCATAAGAGACTTTTTTCAAAAACATTAAGACATCTTGCCCATCTCAAACTTTTGAATGGTAGAATGATTTTTTTGCACTAAAAGTGCAATGTTGCTCTTGGTTACAAATTGTGTAGAGCAAAAGCTCAAAAGTCCATTTTGTGAACAAAAAAAAAATTTTTGTTAGATATTTTTTAACAACTGGTTCACAAATCTGAAAAATTCATATGATTTTGAAAGCATCCTTATCCAGTAATCAAAAATGACTGATAAGGTCAGGGAAATTTATTGTTTGGAGTGCGGGAGGCCTGCGTACCGAAAAAGGTCAAATTATTCATGCTGTTCTTGCGAGTAATTTTAAAATCAAACACATTGTCAGCATATCAATGTACTGTAGCATATTCAAATTCTACTTAGGAGAACTTACAGGTTGCCAGTTGGCTGAATAGGTACATTTATAGCATAGTTTGCATTGCACAAAAATGTATATTTTGCGTCTGAATGACTTTTTTCATTTTTTCCCTTTCATTCATTTTATCACTCCAGCTCACTTTTTGGACAGCAAAATAAAAGGTACAGTGCTTTCTTTCATCAACCACGTTCTGCTTTCTGTGTGAAGTCCGGAATAAAAATGTATCTCTTTTTTAATTATTGTTTTCTTAAATTCCTCCTTAATCATGTTTCCATTGAATGCAAACGTTTATGAAGTCGAAAAGCAGATTCACGGATGTAGACCTTGCTTCATAAAAAAAAAGAAAAGAAAGGGGAAAAAAAAGAAGCAAATTTCAAAAGCATTCGAGCCTTCCTCTAATCGAGCTCTTCAACAGTACAATGCAAATATCATGAAATGTCATATTTACTGAAGAGAGGGTAAGCCGCAGCATATTAGTTGTGTGTAACCAGCAGAGGCTGCCTGGGCTGTCTGTAGAAATGACACTAAATCACTGCATACCGCAGTATAACACCCCATGTTTAATTCTTTTCCCTGAATGTCTCTTCATGATAGCAGACTGGATAGGATATAGAGGTAAAGGTCATGCTGCCCTGAAGAGAGCATGTGGCTCTGACCCCTCTGTCTCTCAAGCATGACTTTCATTATGTCTATGTACCGTGTATTAATGTGTCCCTACATGTGTTCGGTTTCAGGTTTCCTGTTTTATACAGTGTAACTGTAGGCATACAAAGACACACACAAAATCATCAGTCAGTCCATGCACATATACACATTCGCATTACCCAAATCCCCATTGTTGTACATCTCACTGTCTCTTAATGTAATATTTAGCAGCTGCTAAGCTCCTTAATTTAGTATTTCCTCTGTAATTTCCTTTGACTTCACACATTTCTGTGACAAAGGATATGATGGAGCACTTCAGTATACTGTCTGATAAACTCTCTGCACTTGTGCTGTTCAGCTCAGCATGCTGTTAATTCACATGGACACTGCTAGATGTGTAATTTGATCATATTTTTCATAAGAACCTATGATCATAAGTTTTCTCATAAATATTTTATTTTATGCATTTTTTTCCTTCTTTTTTTTTTTTTTTTTGCAAATCATTTTGCCTAGCTGGTATTTAGCTGAATTTATTAATCTATTCTCCTAGAAATGGAGAACAGAAAATAATTACATATAAGCACATATTTTGTCCAGCTGTTTCATGTGAAATTACAGCTGTCCCTGAGTCCTGTCCGATGTCTTTAAAATGTCAAGTTCCAAACGTTTGACTGACTAAAACACATTCACCGTGTTTTCCCCTGTATGTTTATGCAGTTCTGTATGGTGAGTTCTTCACCCCTTTGACACATCCTAGGATGCTGATTGGTTGGTATGTATAACTGATGAATTTGTCCCGGTAGATAGCTGTCCAGGGCTGTGTAACAACAACGGCAGGTGCATTTTGGACCAGAACGGATGGCACTGCCTCTGCCAGTCGGGATGGAGAGGGGTGGGGTGCGATGTCGCCATGGAAACCCTTTGCTCTGACGGCAAGGACAACGAGGGAGGTGAGAAAAGGACGAGAAGTTGGGGGCTAAACAATTGGTGCTCCCACTTCTGTATTAAAAATGTCTACTACTGAATATGTAGTCTAAAATCCTTTGCTGTTATTTTAGATGGTTTGGTGGACTGTATGGACCCAGACTGTTGCATTCATAGCACCTGTCAGGGTCAGACGTATTGCCGCGGTGCTCCAGATCCCAGCACAATGCAACACCTCAGCTCACCTTCTCCAGACGCTCAGGGTTTCTATCAGCGCATCAGCTTTCTGGTAGCTCCGGGGGGCACACATACCCTACCAGGGGAAAACACATTCAACAGCAGGTTAGGAGATCTTGAACTGCTGAAGAACAGCCAACTAGGTTTGGATTTAGTAAGAGTATTGGGACCTATTCTACAGTGAACTAAAAAAAAATTTGCTTGAAGGGATACATACTTCACCCAAAAATGGATAGTACCACAAAAGAAAATTAATTTTTTCTTGTTGGACTCCAATGTTGTTTTAGACCACATTGACTTTTATTGTAGGAAAAATCATGTATCTTCAAAATATCTTCTTTTGTGTTTCTAAAGAGGTTTGCGTAAATGATCTCAGAATTGCCATTTGTGAGTGGACTATCCCTTTAATACTTACAATCTAGCTTAGAAAGCTGTATTTTATTACTTTTTTAATAATGTTAAAACATATTTTATGATGCCATAAAATCGGTAGTTTTCGCTGCTTTAGGAAATTAACGTTATTTAATGATTTCAACCATCAAAATTGTTTAATATATATATATATATATATATATATATATATATCGATATCTATATCATTCTAAGCTTCTCACGGAGACACATGGCTTATTATCCCGATAACGCCTCTATTTCATGTTTTATTTATCAGTGGCATAACATATTAAAATGTATATGCATAGAAAGTCCTTCTGGCTATACAAGTAATTGTGATGCCGTTTGATGTGTTGCACAAAATTTCCCACAATCTTAAAGTGTTTGTAACATTTTGCGGTCGTAGATCTAACAACATGGGAAAATAGAGCAAGCCACACTCATACAGAATAAACAATAGGGTTTTCCTTTTTGATAGGAATTCAGAACTTCAGTTTCCCTTTTTGGAGCCTCCATGTTGTCCTATCTAATTTCTGCTGCTTTCATATTGCAGATAGAAAAGCTATCCACCGTTGGTATGATTTGTACCATAAGCTAACGTACCATGTACTTTAGGAAATGATTACTTTTTCCAGTGAAAAAATTGAGCGCCTCACCTTTGTACCTCTTCAATTTGGAAACTTGAGCGAATATGTTCTTTGCCCTTTGGTGTTTTTGGACAAAGTTAACAATATGAACATTGCTGCTTGTCTTCACTGCCTTAGAATAGGAGCAGTCAAGAAAAACTTGTTAGAATCTCTTGATATTTGGCTGATGAAGCTTTTGATTATGCCTTGATGAGGAAACTTCTCATCCCGCCCATCTGCCCTGAGGTTTCTTTTGTTCGCACAGTGAGAAATTATCACACAATTAGTGTAAAGATGCGAGATTGCAGGTCAGCCACTAAATGGTGCTTGGTAAAATAATTTGTGCTGTAATTACATCTGTTAAGATTATCAAAACAGAATGGCAGAGGAAGGTCAGGTGCAATGGATTGAGACATTTTATAGTAGATATGGACATTTTATATATAAAATCTATGAATTGTATATATAAAATACCAAATTTAATGCTGCTTTTTAATGCTGCTTGTTTTTTAACAGCCTGCTGACCTTGAATTTCGACGCTGTGAACAGCTGGTTAATCTACCTTTGTTTTCACTCAGAGCCATATTCACGTGTTTTTGAACGTGTGTTTATTTAATAGCCTGGTGTCCGTTGTGAGAGGACAGGTGGTGACCAGCGACGGCACTCCACTGATTGGGGTGAATGTGTCCCTTCTGCATTACCCCCAGAAGGGTTATACCATCACCAGACAGGACGGCATGTACGTACAAATATGTTTTACTCAGACACAGACAAGCACATTCATAAACACATAATTATGCTAATACCTATCCTTAAGATAGTCGGTGAAAAAGCATTTTGCATAGTTTTATGCAAATTCATATTTACATCTCACTGCTTCCCACACAAGTCAAGTCAAATCAACACAAACAGGCACATTCTCAACCCTATGTCAGTGATACTGTCACTCAAAGGCAGCACATTACAATTTGACCCATGAATGTCCTTTTATGATCCTTTTATGAACCAGAAAGTTCAATTTACAGATCACATTTGCATATATAGTTTTTTGCATAGCACACAAAATCTCCACAAATTATACTTGTTTAATTAAACAAATGATTAAAATAATAATATTTACTATATATACAGTGGGTACAGAAAGTATTCAGACCCCCTTAAATTTTTCACTCTTTGTTATATTGCAGCCATTTGCTAAAATCATTTAAGTTAATTTTTTTTCCTCATTAA